TTTTTAAGCATTAGTGATGTTAGTATGCTGTGTTACACTGCACAGGCAGTCTACACAAGTATTTTTTTTTGTTGTAAATTGACTGTTTAACACAAAAATAACTGACAATATAAATAGTGTTCCTTTAAGGTGAAAAAATAGGCTGCTAAGCCTAATAAGCGGAAAAACAGTGTTGTCAAACGGCCACTTATATTATGGGTCTAGAAGAGTGCATTATTAGTGTGTAATTTATTAAAATGAGAAGAAATAGACATAATATTGTATTCTGGAAACAAGCTTAGTAGTGTATCATGGGAAAATATGTTTATGGTTGCAGGAGTGATAACATCCAAAAATTAAAATGGAACATAGTACTGCAAAAATGAAAGTATTTGAATGTAATAACAAAGTTTGGTGACTCAAGACTAATAATTAACCAATATACCTTTCACATGATATCATTTTGTTTAATTTCATTTGAATGGCACCAAGTTCTTTGCTTCTATGAGCATTGACATGATAGTGAATCTTAGACGTTGACTTCAACAATCAGCTTATACGATTATTGACTTGTGGGGAAAAACAACTTATGGCATCAATGCATTCTTGGACTATAGGGGATTATTTGGAGGATTATTTAGATGATTATTTAGCACCTAAATGGATGTAACTCCCTTGTCTCAATTTCTTTTTTCATTTTACGGAGCACTAACCCTGAATTTGTTTTCATCTAAAAAGAAATTAACAAAATCAATGAAAAAAGTATTATGTTATTAGTTTGTTATACAACCACAATATGTCTTTAAAACTGATAGTCATGTTAGTCTAGCAAAAGAAATCACTTTAGATTTACATGAAATGGATTAAAAAACCAGTATTTTTACTACTGCGATTATGGATTTTCCTCCCCCCTGAAAATTGACTACTCGAGTATAGTTAAGGAAGGATAACACTGATAATTGTGTTTGAAAAAGAAAGGATGACCGTTTTGTCATATATTAGAGAGATTGAAATTGGTTGTTTTGTTAAAAAAAATTGTCTTTTTGGCAATTGGCGATAGATGTGTAAAAGCACTTAAAAGTTTAACCATACAATCGGTAAGAAACATAGATTCATAATGATCAATGGGGAAATTAGTAAGATTGACTTGATTGGTGGTATAAATTAGTCATTAGTTCTTTCTACTTTTATTATTCATTATTATAGTAGATTACTAATGGGCCTTTGATGTATGAGTGGGCGGAAATGCTTTGAAGTGAATGGAGCTAACTGAAGTGTAGAAATTTGGATTTTTTCATCAGACCTCAAATAAGTATTCATGTGCCTGGTTTAAAATAAATAAATATTGCTAAGAAACTTTTGTGAGTTTTTATAGAAAGTATGTTTATGTACTTCAATATTGCAGTAGTGAAATAAAGTTTCATAAAAAGGAACTGTGATTCCTATAGTTATGGTCAAAACTCTTTTCCCGTGTTAATGCTTTGAGAGTTTTCAAATTCATTTTTGAAACTATCCTCAACTTTGACATTATATCACTTGAAATAGTCTTCTATTTATTTCAAACTGCCTGAGGAGGTTTTGAATTTTCAAATTAGTTTAAATATAAAAGATCTTAGCAGTAGACTATTTGTAAAAGCTATTGCATCCTTATTACTGCTCAAGTGTCAAATTTTTGAAAACACATGATATCACTTTTTTAGAATAATAGTTAAACAAGGGTTTTACGAAATGGTTCAATTCTTAACCACCTACATTCATTTCAATAAGAAAATTATATGCTTTTCCAATCTACAAAATGCCCACAATGATAAAATTAGAACATTTAATTTCTTCTTAAGCATGGCACACTGGGACAAAATCAATCGAAGGAAAAATAAGACTGAAGCAATGAATTTGTAAAAGTAGGTTACTCATAGGAAATATGACTTGTGAATGAGGCATATAGACCTCTACTTTGCTCATTCTCTAACCTCCAAAAATGAGATGAAATCTTATGACCTACTACTCAGCCAAGCCAATTAAATGAATGGCCTATATAAACCTTGTATATATAAATAATAATAAAAAATTGAAACCACTATAACTACAGTTGACTTTAAACCCAGCTCACTTAGTTATGGCAATAGAGAACATAAGCTTCATTGATTCTTACAAGAACCAAATGATTACTCATCAAAAAAAGAATGGGAAAGGAAATACTTTTTGTAATGAAATTGTTATTGCCCGGAGTCATTTTTCCCTTTTCAATTTGGGGTTTCATTAAGTATTTTACATGAACCAAATGCTCTGGAAATTAGACTGAACCTAGCAAGATGTAGTATTGCAAAATTTGAGCCATTATAACTACAATTGACTTATATATTATTTGACTTAGTGGGGTGCTGGAGAACACAATGGACAAACACAAACATGGACAGAAGACAAAGCACAGAGCAATTCACCAAAAGTCACAGTAATTCAGATACGGACATTAATTCTGTAGTAGTCAACTAACAGAATACACAGTAATTCATATACGGACGAGAGGCAAAGCACTAAAATTCTGCAGTTAAGGACCTCAAAGCACAGGCAGAAAGAAAGGCAGGACAAACACAAACATGGACAGAAGACATACCGGGAAAGTGAGCGCAGGTGGCGAAAATCCTCTGCCGATTGAATAAGATGCATTTATAGGGTGATGACGGTAGAGAATGATCGAGGTTGGGCGCGCCAATTGGAATTCCATAACCCGCACTGCAGAGGAGAGGATCGATTTGCAGTTACAAGGACAGATATTTATCGTTCCATAAATGCGAGATTAATAAACACTCACCTGCGAGGAAGGCGTAGGGATGAGCGACTGATACCGGCGCGACCGAAGAGCGTGACTCGAGACGGGGCAATGGAAGGGCCCTGCGCGACCGAAGGGTGCGAATGGAGATGGAGCAACAGAAGGTGCGTGTGCGGCTAAGACTATGCGGGTAAAGTTGGGCCGGTGGAATCACAAACGGAAGGGTAATAACGGAGGGCAACGGAGTCAGCGCACTGTACGGGAGATAAAAGGCAGATTAAATGGAAAATTTACCAACATTTAAGCCTAATGTACATGTCACAACAGCTCAAAGGACTACCAACAAAAAATCTTTTACCCAATACAGGTCAACCTTCATTCACCTTTATTATATTGTAGAGATAACATTATTAATAATAAATAAAGAGAACAAAGTTATAGCTAACCATGAAATATATTTTAGTTTCGCAACAAACGGTTATGTGTGGTTAGTCAATTTATAAGAGCAATTAGCTAACCGACGAAGATACTCTTAGAAGGCTTAGAAGGGGATTGGGATTATATATTACTTAGTACCTCCGTAACATAAAGATCTTCTCATTTCCTTTTTTTAACCGTTACTAAATAATCTTCCCATTTCTAAATCTTCTCATCATAGCCTCAATAATTTTAAAAATAATACACTATTACACCTATTTTTTTTTATTTATCCTTCATTCCACCACACTATTTTATTATCTTTTCATCATACCCTCAACCAGGGGAGGATCTATGTTAGGGCTATGGTGGGCTGAAGCCCAGGGAAAAGTAAAAAGAAAAATTATTATTATTAAGGTATTATTTTGACAAAATTCCATTCAGCACACCCCAAATTTTTCTATAGCCCAATCCAATTCTTCAGCCCAGCACATAAAACAAAATATTACCATCTAAAAATCTAATATAAATGTTATACACATCCAACTTAACAAGTGGCACGTTAGTATATATGTATAAGGGCCATAAAGCCCATAAGATATCAATGTAATAAATACAATTAAATATGATTCAATTAAGAGCTTGATTAGCTCACATCAACTTGTACAGTGTTTGTGGATCTTCAAGATCATTAATTTCCCAAAAGTGAGTTATTGGACAGAAGTTCGTAGTGTATATAGACATTTTCCATGTTTTGAATTTGTGTTCAATTTACTTTTGATGCACAAAGTTATGGAATAACCAATATTCTCTCTCAAGGCCAGGCCTTCAAAAGAACTTATTGGATATCTTGGTAGCCATGAGACATCTTTCTACTACACAACTCATTCTTAAGGAGTTGACATAAAATGGATGGGAAAGTTTTCTTGAAGAAGTAAATGAGTTTTGCTCAAAAAAATAAATTTATGCACCAGACTTGAATTCTAATTTTTAAATATATGGTTGGTTGTTGCTGAAAATAAACTACAATAGAACATCATTATCACTTCGATGTTTCAATGAGGTAATATACTTTTTTGATGGAGTTACGGACCCAGTTTAATGATAAATCAGTGGAACTTCTTTCTTTAAGTGCTTCATTGGATCCAAAAAATTCATGAGTCGTTCCGTGCTGATGCTATTTGTACTCTTGCAAGAAAGATCTATCCCAAAGATTTCATTAGTCAAGATATTCGTGCTTTGAAATTCGAGCTGCAACCTTATGTTCATGATGTGATTCATGATACAAAGTTTCAAGTATCTACACTTGTTGAATTATGTGAGGAGTTGACTAGAACTAAGAGCAAAAGATCCAATTCATATGTTATGATGAGTAGATTGATTCGTTTTGTATTGATTTTATTGTTTCTACTGCAACCGTAGAATGATCATTTTCTGTCGTGAAACTTCTAAAGACAACACTCTTCAACAAAATGGATGATGACTTTCTTGTTGATTCATGACCCTTTATATTGAAAAGAAATTACTCTCATTATAGATGTAGACTATTGTTGACGACTTTTTTGTTTTAAAGCCTTGTTGAGAACAAATTTAGGGGATAACTTTTATATTTGATTTGTTTGCTTATTTTGAAAAAAATTCAATATATTATCAATTAAGTTTTTGAGCCCCTCCCAATTTGAAATCCTGGATCTGCCTTGCTCGCAACAATTTATATCCCCTATCACTGTTCATAATCTCACCTAATTTTAGTTTGGGAAGATTTCAACCTTAGGGAGGCAGTAGTTGAAAATGGGACGTTCCTATCCAATATAAATATCCATCAGAATTCACAAATAGGCACATAGTCTTCCAGTTACTGTATAAATTGGACAATTAAACCTTGTTTTCTCTTCACACTCAATACACAAATTCTCTCACACAGAAAAAATCAAGACCCAAATGAAAATATCAAATAAGCCAACCATCCTCCACCTCCTCCTCCTGGCATATGCTCTGTCTTCAGCTCCACCGGTCATCGGCGTGGCGTCGGGGAAGTCGCCGGTGTTTCGGGAATACATAGGCGCAGTGTTCAGAAACGTCAAGTTCTCCGACGTGCCCATAAACCCAAACGTTGACCACTTCCATTTCATTCTGTCCTTCGCCATTGACTACAAAACCTCATCTTCCTCTGCCCCTCTTCCTACCAATGGCAAATTCAACATTTTCTGGGACTCCCATAACCTCTCCCCTTCTCATGTCTCCGCCATCAAGTCTAAGCATTCTAATGTTAAGGTTGCTCCTAAACACTTCTTTTATTCTTTTTAATTGTATTGATATCCAATTATCCATATATCGGTTATCATAGATTGTGGTGTGCTATAGTTTCATTATCATAAGTCAAGGTTTTTACTTTTCAGTAGACGCCTTTAAATTCAAAATCTCATCCAAATGACATGATTGAACATTTAGATATTTTAATGGCACCGAGGGACCCAAAAAACTTTGACTTTTCATCTTTTATTTAAAAAATGGGGTACTGTACCTACCATGCATTTGATTGGTCCAAATAATTATATGCCTTTTAATTAAGATTTAAATAATTCAACTGCATCATTCTTATTGGTCCATTTGGACAAATGTACGGTACATTTGGGGTACTATAGAATTAACCTTATAATTTCTCTCTTAAAACCTTATAATTTCTCTCTTTAATTAAGACTCATATTATGATGGGTAAATAAATGGAGAAATGCTAACTTGTTCACTACATACCACGACGTTAATGTTATAAATAATCAGATTTAATATCACCAATTTAAATATTTGAAAGAATTCATATCTCATCACCCATTTGTACTTTGTAGTACTAGTATATACTGCGTACTATATTTGTAGTGCGTATTTTGTACGTAGTATTATGCGTAGTAATTTCATACTTTCAGGGGTTTACCTTGAGTACGCCACTACCTCTTATTATCTAAAAGTTGCTAAATTCAAATAAACCTTAAACTTATAATTAAAAGAATGCAGTAATTAGAAATGGTAAATATAAAATGCATGAATTAGAGTATTTTAGGCGTAGTATTTGGCATTTAAGAATGAAAGAAGCTCATTTCAAGACAAGAAAAACTAATAGTGGTACTTAAGAAAACAGGTGCTATGAATAAGGGCGGAATTAGAAATCCAAGCTAAGTTAGATTGAAATGAAAAGTAATTGTCCTATACTTAAACATTAATAATGCGAGCAGTGAGCTACATATAAAAATGCAAAAAAAAAAAAATTACACAAAAAGTTGAACAAAATTAAGTTGTCATAAGAACCCACTATAATCCTAAAATAGATCCCCTCCCCTGGCTATACCCTCCCCTGGTTAGGAATGTTGTATACTTCGTATATTGTTTCTCATAGACACGTACTAAATGTATCTTAATCTCTTTCTACCTATCAAAATAAACCAGTAGTATTACTTTGGTTTTTTAAGTCAAAGTTTATTTTCTTCCAAAAAAAGTCAAAGTTTGTTACTACTAGTCTACTACGCAATGTTTTTACTCTTAAATATTTTATGATACGATGTACATTTATTGTCGAACACTCTTACTAAAATTCAAACAATTGACTTGGAATTTGGAAGGAGGTAGGAAGTACTCTTCTTTAATTCTTGCAACAGTTTGACTTTCATGTTCACCAACGCACAACTTTGACTGTAATTATATTTAATTATGTATTAGTAATCATTATAAAAAGTTGATATTTTAGAAATTCACATTGATAGGAATTCAATAACATTTTATACACAATAATTTGCTTATGTATATTAGTAGAAAATTGTGGTCAAAGTATGACATGCGAATAGTGTAAAAATCTCAATGTTGCAAGAATTAAAGAACGGGGGAAGTATTAAACATGCGAAAAAAATCTCCGATATAAGTTTTCATGTTTTTATTTTCTAAATTGGAGTAATTTTTATTTTTCTATCAAATTTGGCATAAAAGGGGTATTTTGAGTTTGCGCCCCGTTTTATTCTCCAAATTTGACTTTGCATCCCATTATTAAAAAAACTTTGTATTTGCACCCCAAGCCCATATGAAAACACAAAAATGCTCCTCCATTAACTATTCTGTTGACCTTCAACATATTGCTGATTGAGGGACATTTTTGTCTTTTCATACGGGGTTGGGGGAGCAAATACAAAACTTTTTTAAAATGGGGTGTAAAGTCTAATTTGGACAATAAATGGGGTGTAATCTCAAATTATCCCTATTAAGTTTTAATTGTTGTTTCTGTAGCTGATTGTCAGATTTGATTTTCGTTACCCCGAGTTGTATTATGGATGGTCTTAATTTTGATTTGATTAATATGAATTAATTATTTTCTCTTAAAAAAATTAATTGTGGCAATTTCTGCATGTTTTTTCAAACTTAGCGGAAACTATTCCTATTTAACAAATGGACCATTCTTGGTGTACACAAGTTGTACACAAAATATGTATATTGTCTGTGTACACAGACAATTTGACATCAAGTACTGCCTCCTTTTAAACGAATTGCATGTCTACACAGGCAACTAGGGGGTTTTGTGTACAACTTGTGTAACTCCGTAGACTAAGCATTTTTCTTAACAAATATTCATACGAATGTCCTCCCTATTTTAGAATTTCTAGGATGCTTTTTACTTTTATTCGACAATATCTAAACAATCATTCATTCTCTTTTGTTATAAAGGTAGCCGTCAGCTTAGGCGGCGACACCGTAAATGAACTCCCCGTCCTTTTTGCACCGTCTTCCGTCGATTCTTGGGTTTCAAACGCCGTGTCTTCCCTGACCCGGATCATCGGAGACTACAACCTCGACGGAATCGACATAGACTACGAGCACTTCCAACCCGACTCGGACCCAGACACGTTCGTGGAGTGCATCGGACGGCTGATCACCGCCCTGAAGAAAAACAGAGTGATTTCATTCGCCTCCATAGCGCCGTTCGACGCCGCCGCCGTCCAGAGACATTACACCGCCCTGTGGAAGCGGTACGGCGGCGTGATAGACTACGTCAACTTCCAGTTCTACGCATATGATAACGGGACCACCGTGAAGCAGTTCATAAGCCATTTCAACAAGCAGAGGGATGAGAACTACGGTGGGGGGAGAGTGCTGACGAGCTTCGTCAGCGGCGGGGGCGGCGGGTTGTCGCCGGAAAAGGGGTTCTTTAAGGCTTGCGGCGAGCTGAAGAGGGAGGGGAAGCTTGATGGGATATTTGTGTGGTGTGCTGATGATTCGAAATCGAATGGGTTCAAGTATGAGAAGAGGGCGCAGGCTCTGCTCGCCGACCAAAAATAAGTTGATTTTTTTTATACAACTGAAAGAAAACAAAAAATAAGGTGATGAATCCTGATGATACTCTCTATTTTCATCACAATTATTACTCTGATGAATAAAAAGAAATTGCCCATAATAAGACTAAAACATACTTAAAAAGCCATAATAGGACTTAGCATGTTTAATTCCCCTAATAGGAGTTATACGGTCCTATGCAGACGTTTCGCAGTTTAGCTAATGTCTATATTACCCCTGTTTCTATTTTTGCTATTCGGTTGGGGGGTTTACCGGCTATTTTCGGTTATTGCGTGTGAAAGCATTTATTAGTTTCCTTTTCCGTTTTTGATTAAGATTCTGCATAAGAATTAGTTTCCTAAATCAGTTGGGACATGATTCAATTTATTTGCTCATTCGTCGTTTTCTCCTGCATTCTTCTTTTTCCGCCATTGTTTGAAGTTGGAGTTCGTTGAGGCGGTTGAGCTGTTCGCCGTTCTGCTTTTCATTCATCTTCTTCTGCTGTTCATCGTTCTGCTCTTCGTCGTTTTGTCCTGCTTTTCATTCATCTTCGTTCGTTTGCAGAGTATGTTTGCTGAAACTTGTCATCGTTTATCGTCTTTTTTCTTCAATCATTGTTAAATGTATGTTGCAATTTCATACCTTTTACAATATGTCAATTCGTCAGTTATACACATGTAGCTATGTAGTATAATTCTTCTACAATATGTCAATTCGTTATTCATTGTATGTTGTTATTTCGTAAAACATGTCTTTTTGTATTCGGAACTGTCATGTTGTGCCATTTTGTTTGGTACATAATAATTATATATCCTTATAAACTGTCATGTTGTATAACTCTGCGTTGTTTCATGCTTATAAACTGTCATGTGTGTGTCATGTTATGCTGAAATATTTGTTTTCCTTCACTTTTTAGGAACCTTTTTCCACAATGGATCCTGTTTTATTTGTTATGGTCAAGGTGGATGGTTTTTGGGATTCTGACTATGTGTTCATCAATGTCCACACATGTGGTCTTCATGTTAACTATGGTGTTCAATATACTTCTTTTGTTGATATGTTGACTGGCATGTTTTGTCAGTACAAACCAAATCATAATTTCAGGCTTTCTTATATGCGAGATGGATTCCCTCCTCCTGTTACTATAAATGATCAATCTAGCTTAACATTTTATCTTTATATCAAGTCTCTTCAACCAGATTTTTTAAAGTATCCTCTTTGTGTTGAGTTTTATCCTGTCTCTTCTTCCTCTGCATTTTCTGTTGATGTTGAACGTTCCATTTTTCCTCCAACTAAAAATGTTGTTATTTCTCCACAACAACTTACCACTTATACTATACCCTTCTCCTCACCTCCAACTTCTGTTGTTAATCTTTCAACTCATTCACTTTCTGTTGATGAGAATGTTGTTGATTCTTCCCAACAACATGCCTCCTCACCTGCACTCTCTTTTGATGATAGCCCATCTTTTTGCACTGAAAATGTTAACCTCTCTGGTACACACTCTCAAGATGTTGCTTTTTCTAGTAACACTGTGTCTAGAGCTGTAGAAATTGAAACGTCTGAAGACAGTGATGAAGACACAGATGACATGACAGATGGCTTAGTAATAGAATCATGTCAATCACTCTCATTTCTCCACAATTTTGAAGTCATCACACACTCCCATCCTACTTCTCTTGTTCTCTATGCTATTTACAGAAGTAAAAAAGACCTTATCCACCATCTGAAGCTCTATGCTATCACAAACCACTTTCAATACAGAACTAAGACCTCTAGGAAAATATCTTTACATGTTATTTGCTTAGATCCTGAATGTCGTTGGACTGTTCGAGCTGTAAGACTACATGGTGTAGAAATGTTTCAAATCAGAAGGTAATTCTATTTTCCTTCTTTGTTTGACTTCATTGTAAATTCTTGTTTATCAGAATGTCATGTATTGATGACATTCTTACACAAGAATGCCAAATATATATTAGTCAGTTGTATAGTAATGCCACTTTTTTGTCCTTTTAGATTCCGTCCAGAACACACATGCTCTATTGATTATAGACAAGGCAAACATAGACAGGCAACTGCTAATGTGATAGCACAACTTATTGCACACAAATACCTTGATGCTTCCAGTAAACCATACCCACCAAAGCAAATTCGTGAAGACATGAGTGTGGAGTATGGAATTTCCATGTCATACAAAAAATCTTGGAAAGCACAGAAGAAAGAAATGCAGCTCCAATTTGGTTCTGATCTTGAATCCTATCAGGTTTTGCCTTCTGATCTTAAATGCATTTTTTTGCCATTTAGTGTTTATGAGTTGTGTTTTGGCATTTTGTTTACTTTTAACTGACATATATGAGATTTGATGGCAGTTATGGTACACACTTGTTCCATTCGATTTTAACATTTCATTTACATGCATTGTTCGTTATATTTTTAGGCATTTACATCTCTCAATTTTGTTATGATCTTGAATCAGGTTTTGCCTTCTATGGCTTATGTGCTTAAGAAAGCGAATCCTGGCTCTATTTTTGATCTAGTCACAGGGCAGGATGATGCATTTTGTACCTTTTTTATGTCATTCAGTGCATGGATAGATGCTTGGCCCTACTGCAGACCTGTTCTTATATTGGATGGTTCTTTCCTCAAAGGTTACTATAAAGGCACTCTTCTTACAGCTTGTTGCCAAGATGCCAATGATCACATAGTTCCTATTGCATTTGGTATTTGTGATTCTGAAACAAAAGCTTCTTGGAAATGGTTTTTATCCAAAGTCTCTCAGACAATAAAGTACAGACATGACCTTTATGTAGTATCTGATAGGCATAAAGGGCTTATAAAGGCTGTTTCTGAACTCTTGCCACATGCTAGCCACGGTTTTTGTGTTGCTCATCTGCGTCGTAACATGACACCAAAATTCAGAGGATCTGCAGCTGGTTTGGGATGGAAGTTCAAAGCTGCCTATATGGCAGCAACTGTTAAAGAATATCATGACTACTTATCCATGTTGGATTCTGAAGACCCCAGGATAAGGACTTGGCTAGAGAAACTAGGTGCTAACACATGGGCAAAAGTAATGTCTGGACCAAAGAGATATAATATTATGACATCCAATTGTGCTGAATCTATGAACAAAGTCAATGTATGTGCAAGAGAGTATTCTGTGTCTAAAGTTGTTGATTTCTTGCGTGAAAGGATGCAGCAATGGTTCACTGAGAGGAAAGAAAAGGCTGAGAAAACAAGTACTATACTCACACGGAAGTGTGAGAAACGTCTTGTAGCTTTGCAAGCTGAAGCTACACGTATGAAGGTATGTCAAAGTTTATTCTTTAACCATAAGTCAGTTCACAGATTTATTTCTCCTTATATAATTCCACTTTGGTTATCAGTATGTCATTTGGCTTTACAATCTGTCAGTTTGTGTCCTTCTATTAGTATATTGGTTTGATAATTTGTTTTTCTTCTACTTTGATATTCATATTTTGTCTATTTCCTAGGTAAAACCATCATGTGCCTATGAATTTGAAGTTGTTGATAGAAGATGCACTTCTTTTGTGGTCAACCTCAATACTAGAAGTTGTACTTGCGGCCACTTTCAACTAGATCACTTTGTTTGTGCTCATGTTGTTGCTGCAATTGCTATACGCCCACATCTGTCATGTTATACTTATATTTCACCTTATTACACTAGAGATGCTTGGCTTGCTACATGGTCTGGTATTATGCATCCAATTGCTGATCGTGACAGTTGGTCCGTTCCTGCTTCTACTCAAAACCAACGATGCAAGCCACCAACTTGTATGAAACGTCCTCCTGGTCGCCCGAAGAAATCTAGGATTCCATCCATTGGAGAATATAGAGGTTCAAAAAGGCAAAGATGTTCTAGATGTCATGTGCTTGGGCATAATAAGAAAACTTGTAGGAATCCCATTCCAATCAATACCCATTGATGTCATGGCTAATTGATTGCATCATATACTTTTAGGAATTTTACTATGTGGTTTGGAAGTAGTTGTCATTTGTTTAAATGTTCTGACATTTAGTGTTTATGAGTTGTCTTTTGGCATTTTGTTTAAGCTTAACTGACATATTTCATATTTGATGGCAGTTGTGGTTCACACTTGATGCCAGTTTGTTATGAATACATTTCAATGTCATATTTCACAGTTGATGTCAGTTGACTTATGGTTTGGCATTTTGTTTATTGTTAATTAACATATGTCAGATTTGATGGCATTTAAGTTTCAAAAAATGAATTGTTAACATGTCATTTACATGTTAAGTTGTTCCATTTCATTTCGACATGTCATCGTTCCTTATACCTATTAAAAGTTTTAGTAAACAATTTAGTGTAATATTTTTAGCCATTTGTCATTTGACATCCTAACAAATGTCAACTAAGTGTCATTTTTATGTCATTTGCATGTTGTATGTACTCAAATCTGACCCCACTAACAATCCATGCATAGATGAATACAAGTATGAATAATATGCATAATTCAATAAAATGCATTCTCATTGTCTTTAAGAAGTCAAAGAACAACTGTCAAAAAAGAAGTCAAACAACATAATTTGCTGACATTTTTTATTCAAATGAATGTCATGTTAAATGTCACTTAATGTCAATATTGTTATGTCATTTTTTGTTTATTGAATAATGACATTTTCAAAGTAGATGTCATTTAAACTTTTAACAACTGTCATCCGAATGTCAAATATGTTGTAGATAAACGATCACTATTTGACCCAAAATTCAATAAAATGCAATCTCACAATGCCATGTCATAATGTCTAAACCAAATGTCATATATTCAAAACACAATGCAACTGATTGTTTTAAAAAAGTCAAACAACATGCTGTTCGAAAATAATAAGAAAGGATAAGCATAAGTTCCCAAACAAATGTACTTGATGTCATGCCATGATATTAAAAGTACTAGTACATATGAAATAGTCTTCCAACAAAAGCATCATTGTCTCTAAAGCATCACTTCATTCTTTCTGACACTGCCTTCTCTCGCTATATAGTATCAACTCAGTTGCCATTTTTTGCCTAAAGAATTGTATTGCTTCAGGATATATGGCATCCATGTCCATCCCTATCATTAGAAATTCTGCAATCTTCAACATGTACATTCCACAGTTTCCCCTGATTCATAACAACCAAAATAAAAGCACTTTCTTAAAATAATAAAGTAGTACACTATTACACAATCTGTTTAAGTAAATTTATATCCTCTTACCCATCATCTTGCTGTGGACATTCTTCTACAGGCTCGACTTCCAAAAACCTTTCGCCCATAGGCTCTTCACCCATCAATGCGTACACTTGATGATAATCCATTAGTTTGGGTAGGAGCACTGTTATGCTTGGAATATAGGATCTGATATCCCTCAGTGAATCACCTTTTCTGGCATTGGAGTTGTACACCCTTACTTTTCTCTGTTTGATATCAAGCACTAACAAGACCCAATGATGTCCAGTATTCAGAGGAAGGTACACAAAGTCTGCCTTGCTCCAGTGCAGGCTAAAGTTGTTAGAACCTATTATTTCACGCACAATGTTTTCTTCTTCTGCTGACTTGTGGTATGTGTAGTGACCCTTTGATATTGTATCAAGTTCACGCTTGACTATTTGCAAGAAAAATGGTCCAGTTGTGGTAAACTTCTGAGGCATTTGGTAATGCACCCTTTTCATGTTGAAATAGTACATTACTACCTCAACATGCTGCAAGAAATAAAATACATATTTAGCAACTAAAAGTAAACTGACTAATAATGGCATTCTATAGCACCATATATCCATTTAAAATTACACTTTGTAGTCAAACTGACAACTATATGACCATTTATACGCGTACCTTGTCAGTTATCCATTGGTGATTCATAAACAGGTCGTATAACCATGTTTTGGATTCAACTTTCATTGTGTCCAGCAAGAATGGTTTTTCAGTCATTCTGTCTTCCTCTATTTTGTACCTTCTGCCGGTTTTATTTTTTTGGAAGTTCTTCAGCAATCCAACTTGCAGGTACGCTTTCACCCTCTCTATTTCTTCAACTGGTGGGCTGTCTGTTGGATCTTCAGAGAAAGGTCCAATTATTTGCTTCATGGGTGGCAGAAATTCATCATCTTCTCTTTTCTTTCCCTTTTCTCTCCTCCTCCTCTTTGATGCATGCTCAGTTCCCATGTGCTTCACTGGTGACCTAACAACACGTTTTTGTTTGGGAAGATCCTCCTGTGACATTGGCACATATTATTTATTATGTATATGTTTATTGAAAAGGAAGTAATATACATTCAATGTGATACTACAATATGGTCATAAGCATTGCCACTTCGATGTCATTTTTAACATGTGAAAAGGACACTTGAATGTCATTTTACTGAGTTTTGGTATTTACCTGGTCAGTCTTTACTATGATTGCTCTGCATGGATTAGTAGAATAGCTCTCAAAAGCCTTTTTTGTCGCTTCATCTGCACTCTTGCACATCTCTTTGATAAATTGGCTATTGTCCTGTGACCCCATACCCCAACCAGATGCTGCAGTGTCAGTTTTATCTTCTTGTGCAGATAGCCCCTCCTTTTGCATTTGCACAGTGTCTTCATTTTTTTTTCTCACTACCTTGAGACTGAGTCAATATGTTAAAAGTAGGCATGTCACAAGGTTCCTGTTCTTCAGTGTTCTTCTCTATCTCCTTACTTTTCTTCTCTTGCATTTCTTTTTCATTTTTGTCTGTAGAAAAACCACCAGCATTCTCAGTCTCTTCTTTAGAATCCTCAGCCTCTGCATTAGCATCCTTATTCACTACTAAATGGTCACTCTCAACATTTGCATCCTCTTTCTCTATACCACCATCCTCATTCTCTACAACACCATCCTTGTTCTTTATATTGCCACCCTCATGCTGTACAACACCATCCTCAATCTCTGCATTAATGCACTCAGTTTCCTCAGGCATATCAGCAACATCATCATCCTTTATCTCAGGCTGCTCATCATTCTCAGAATCTTGCCCAGTCATGGCAAATCCATCATCTTCTTTTTCATTAACATTTTCTTCTTCTTGCTGACTTTCTTCTTCATCCGTATCACCCTTTTCACTTGCTATTGTAGGCTCACTCTTCTCAACACCCTTGGACATTTTGTTGAGCATCAGAATGACATCTTTCAAAAGAGCCTCTTGCTTTTGCTGAGTCTTCTTAATTTTTTTCATTTCTGCCACTAATCTGGCAGTCTCTTTTGCTTGTTTTCTCATGTTTTTTTTCATACTCTTGCTGTCTTTGCTCATGAAAACTACATACTTCTCTCCTTCACGTCCACTGTCATTAGAATCATCACTCTCAGTTTCTTCACCTTCATCAGTCTCTTTCTCACTCGAGTCATCATCACTCTCTTGCTCCACCACAGTCTGCTTTCTTCTTTTAGAAGGTCCTGCTTGAGATTTGATTGCTCTACCAGTGCCCTTCTTCGCTTTTGTTGTTTGTCCTTTGCCTGCTCTGGTCTGCATCACCTTTTCTATCCCTTTTGCTGCAATAGTTTTTGGCTTTTCAGCATCAACTCTGCTAACATTGTTGATGACAAGGTGCATCACCTCCTCATTTATTTCATTTCCTTCCTCTATCATAGCAATCTCATCCGCAGTTGGTACAATCTGCGTCCATTCAAACTAAACAAATAGACCATGTTAGTAAACAATGTGTGCATATAAAATTTAAAATTATACATATGAATCAGTATAATACCTTGTCATTCTTGAATATAATTTCACAAAGCACCTCCAGTGTAGGTTTCTTTTTAAATTCCCACTTTAGAGTCCTTGGCATGATGTTTTCTGCCCCCTTCATTACCTTGCACAAACCAGCTTTTGCTAAACCAGGAAATGTTTCAAATGCCCACCACTGGAATGCCACCATGAAGCCAGGGAATGTCACTCTATCTCCTTTTCCTTTATCCAGTGCCTCACAACTCTGTTTCACCTTGTTAACTAAATCCACCCAAACGTCATCACCCCATGGATAACCATTGAATGCATCCAAATCATTAACTAGATTTATGTAGTATGCCTTCATTGGTCTAGCAGGTTGATTGCCAAACAAGCAATGTGACAGTATGTATAGCAGTGCCAGTTTGACTCCATCCTTTGCCAGTCTGCTCTCATCAGTGCTCTTGTAACTCTTCAATGCATTCTGAATATCTGCACGAGTCACACTTGTCTTGGCTCCTAAATAATTTGTCCATATATCTCCCTGAAGCTCCTCTGAAATATTTGGCTTCACGGCTCCAAACTTTAAAGCACACATTATTGCCAGATCATGCTTCTGAAAACTTATGACACTATCTTTAATGTGAAACCTGATGACACTGTTGTCTGTGTTTCCATTAACTTCAGTCACAAAGTTTCCAATTAATCCCAAAAGCAATTGTCCACTGAGCCAGGGCATGTCTTCTATTCTTAACATCCAACCAAAGACAGTATTGCTGAACTCTGTCAATTCCTCTTGGCTTAGATATGTCCTTATTTTCTTAAGAACCTCAGTAACATTGCAGTAGGAGTTGACACGTAAGTCTTCCACCATCACCAACACTGATTTCTTAAATGCTCTTGTTATTGTCTGTCAAGTTTACACAAATATAGGCATTTTAATCACCATGTACAAAATGACTAATAGAAATCACCATGTAATGTCACTTTGATACAAAATGTCACCAAATGACCTCATAAAAACTGACTAAACTGTCATTAGTGCATCAGTTCTCAATTTTTCATTCAATGTGATGCTATTTTGATTTCAACCTAACAGATATGCATACAATGTCACTACTTAAGGCAGAATGTCATGATAGTGTGCATATAAGGTTGCAATGCCAGTATAGAACACCATATGCATGTAATGTCACTTTCATACAAAATGTCACCAAATGACCTCATAAAAACTGACTAAACTGTCATTAGTGCATCAGTTCTCAATTTTTCATTCAATGTGATGCTATTTTGATTTCAACCTAACAAATATGCATACAATGTCACTACTTAAGGCAGAATGTCATGATAGTGTGCATATAAGGTTGCAATGCCAGTATAGAACACCATATGCATGTAATGTCACTTTCATACAAATTGCCACCAAATGATCTCATAAAAACTGACTAAACTGTCATTAGTGCACCAGTTCTCAATTTTTCATTCAATGTGATGCTATTTTGATTTCAACCTAACAGATATGCATACAATGTCACTACTTAAGGCAGAATGTCATGATAGTGTTCATATAAGGTTGCAATGCCAGTATAGAACACCATATGCATGTAATGTCACTTTCATACAAATTGCCACCAAATGACCTCATAAAAACTGACTAAACTGTCATTAGTGCACCAGTTCTCAATTTTTCATTCAATGTGATGCTATTTTGATTTCAACCTAACAGATATGCATACAATGTCACTACTTAAGGCAGAATGTCATGATAGTGTTCATATAAGGTTGCAATGCCAGTATAGAACACCATATGCATGTAATGTCACTTTCATACAAATTGCCACCAAATGACCTCATAAAAACTGACTAAACTGTCATTAGTGCACCAGTTCTCAATTTTTCATTCAATGTGATGCTATTTTGATTTCAACCTAACAGATATGCATACAATGTCACTACTTAAGGCAGAATGTCATGATAGTGTTCATATAAGGTTGCAATGCCAGTATAAAACACCATATGCATGTAATGTCACTTTCATACAAATTGCCACCAAATGACCTCATAAAAATTGACTAAACTGTCATTAGTTCGTCCGTTCTCCATTTGTCATTCAATGTGATGCTATAATGCTAAAATGTCACTTCCACATAAAATGCCTACGTATTCGTAATTATTTCACACAGAATGTCATCAAAGTCTTCATATATGCTTACAATGCCACTGTATAACAACATGATGATGTAATCAAATGTTACTAAACATGTCATTTAATTTACTCTGATTGCCATAGTATTCATCGTACAAGATTTTGCGCGTTGATTTACAACCTATTTACATTCTACAAATTTACTCTGAACTCTGTTACCGTTAAACGATATGCATTTTTAGGCATTCCTATAAGAAGTAATTACATACCATTTCGGAATTGATTTTGATGGCAACTGTATTTGATAGATTCAGCTCTTTGCCCTCCATTGCTTTGACCTTCAAGTGTCCTCAACGAAGCTACTTGCTCAAGTGCGCGATTCTACTTCAACTGTCGTCTAAGTAGAAGTTTTCAGAGATTGAGTTTTGAACTGAGATGAAGTTACGTCGATTGAATGCCTCTTCTATCGCGCAAGCTCTCAACGGTAAGTCTCCCAACACATAGCCATTTAATGTTTGGAATCTTTTCTTTTCGGCGGCAATGATGAAACTTGGAAACCGGGAATTGCCGTAATGGGCCGGTTATAACCGTCAATGAGGTTAGCGTACGTGTGCGTCGGTTAGGGAGGTCATTTTTGGCATTTTCGTCCATAATTACTCCTACGCGAGTTGGGTGGAACATGGGTGTCCTATTTTTGCAATTTTCATAAGGTTTAGTCTTATTTAGGTAAATTTCTCATGAATAAACAGAGTCATAGCTGGCTTTATTTCTTCTTTTTGTGTTCTCTCCAATAATTGTTAAAGTGTCTTATGAAATAAAAGAACTACTCCACAAAACTTTATCAATTGTTGATATATGGTCCCAACAAAGTTTACTAGTTCTAATACTCCTCCAATTCAAATTATCGACCAAAGTTTACTAGTTCTAAGGGGATTTGGAACTGATTCTGCTTCTGCTTCTTTTTTAAAAGCAGAATCAGAATCAGAATCAGTTTTCAGAAGCCGGTACCCCTCAGCTTCTAAAAAAAACTGATTCTGAGAGTAAATTAGAGCTCCAAAAGTGCGTCTGGAATTTCACCCAAACACTCCAGCTTCTCCTTTTGCTCCCTGAAGGAGCAGAATCAGTTTTGAGAATCAGATCCAAACACCCCCTAATACTCCTTCAATGCAAAAGATGAGAAAACAAGAAGGGATAATTTGAGTTTGCACCTCATTTTATTGTGTAAATTGGAATTTGCACCCCGTTTCTAAAAAACTTTGTTTTTTCACTTTAACCCCATATGAAAAGACAAAAATGCCCTCGATTAGAAATTTGTTGAAGGCTAACAAAAGTGTTAATGGAGGGGCATTTCTGTCTTTCCATATGAGTTAGGGTGCAAAAACAAAGATTTTAAAAAATGGGGTGCAAAGTCCAATTTGGACATTAAAGTAGGGTGCAAAATCAAATTACCCCAAACAAAAATTATGTGATTCAGAGAGTTGTGGAGAGAAGAGATATATGTGTAAATGTGTTTTAAACTAAAAATTCTCCCTAAAATGGAAATAGAAAACTATTTTGGAAGGGAGGTATTACTGCTTAAATACTTCCTTCTTTTATTTGCTAATGATTTTTCCCCTGTAAATACTTCCTATATAGTTAAAGTTAATTACTTTTATCTCATTTACACATACTTTAATAATACTTCCTGTAACTATTTTGGCTATGTTTTATAAGAAGAAAGAATGATCATGATCAAAAAGAAGGAAGAATGATCAAAATGATGATTGTGGTGGCAGATTATGTGATGATTTGAATGGCTTGCCATTTGCCACAAGATAGTGTTGGAGAAAATCTTGACAAAAAGCAAATGATACCATGAAAAATACTATAGGTACCCAATTTTGGGTACCCCATTTGTACCCTTTTTACTTGTGTGGTTCCAAATCTATTTCACATCTTTCACAGTTTTACTTTGTTCACTTTTAGTGCTTGACTAATGTCTATTAATCATTTGTTGTCTTTTTCCAATGATTTTAACCACCGAAAACATTGACGGATGACCATATATGGGCGAAAACACTATCGTCAAGTATCAAAAGTGGTCAAAATTAAAGATGTCGACGAATTGTATAATTGGTGTGATATTTGTGGGATCAAAAGTGAAAATAATTCTACGCAATTTTTCTTCGAGATCTACCTTTTATTTTTCCACTTAGTGTGATTCATATTTGTTGTCCAACAAAGTTCATCATGTTTAATATGTTACTTAAAAGTACACTATACTTACATATTGGCACACACAATTTACATTTTTGTATAATGCGACCTACACATTTGGCCATACATTTTACATTTTGTATAAAGTCATTTACACACTAACCACGATGTCATATTGTCATTGTCGTGGACTCATGGTAATGGGGAACATAAGGTCAAATAATGCCGCAAAACTATACTATTTCCTCCGCAAAAATAACATCTTGCATACATCCATCCGACCCCATGATCGATCACTCTTCCACAACTTCAACTATTGTGGTTGGTCAAGTATGGATTTTTCAGAGTGGAGTATCACATCATGTTAGATTTCACACCTCGCTTCTCCCACACATAGTTGTTTGTGTACTGGTGATTCTGATACCAAATCGTTCAACTTGGAAATGGTTCTACAACTTACCATACCAAATCGTCGGTGATCTCATTCTTTATAATGTTTTTTGTGTCTCTGGTCTCAACATTAAGAATATTGTTCTGTTGCCAAACTATGTAAGGCAACAATCTCTATAAAATATTTTCTACTCATTTTCTTGTTAATGGTTGAAAATGGGGATGTCGCTCATGTGCAGGGAGAAATATCAAGGTGTCTATTTCGCACCTTCCTCTGTCAGCCACGAGTATTTATCACTACAAAAAAATATTGAATTTGTCACGGATATTAGTTAAGGGATATCGGTCAAGCAAGGTTCGTCGCGGGAAAATCCCTAACAAAATTTCTCATGTATTATTCCGTGACAAAATCCTGGCGATTCTCGAAATGACCATCGACAGGGTGCATTTTGGCCGGTCGAAAATTCTAATTAGTTTTTTTTTAACGAAACTGACTTAACTTATCATGACAGAACAAAAGCAGGTTACAAAGTGACAACTAGTCATCTGTCTACCGTCTTCCTTAGAACCAGACTTTAAATTAATCACCTCTGTAGAAGCAATATAATTTGCTGATCCCGCTATGGGCTTGATACACTTGTAATTTCCATATGTATGTTTATGTTTTTAGCTAGTTTTGGTTGTTTAATATTTCGGAAATTACACACTTTTGGTGTAATAGTTTAGTTTGTTAAATTCTTGTAAATTGTTTAGATTAGGTTTATTCTGAGCTCAAACAGGTCTACTATCACTCAAAGGACGGTTGGTGAACCCCAAAAGTGGAAGGAGGGTGCAAAATCACAAGACAAAGGGGAAGATCCTGATTTTTGGTCTATACTCGATC